GTTTTGACAGTTCGGATCACTGCATATTTAAATCGGCCGTTTACGATTTTCGGACATAAGTCAGAATGAAGTATCATGTCGGTTTGTCGGTGGTCGAGGTTTGGGTTTGGCTACGCACCTCGCACGGGACTTTTATTCCAGGTCAGCTGCCTTAGCTAACCGGTAACGGAACGACTTCAACCGGACTACAATGGGTCCTGGTTGGGTGAGGGATATATGAAAGGGGGCAGGTGTTACCATAGAGTACTACTGGTTTTGGATCCGGGGTCCATAATCGTTTTATGGGTGATTAGGCCTACCTGGTTCGACTTTCTCCAATTTAACAATATAAATTGAGATTATAGTCACTTTTCCACTTCACTGTGCACAACTGGTCTAGTTTCGAGATGTTTCTCACTTGAGGTGTTACTTGGAAAAGAACATTCCATCGCTAATAGGACCACCAGTAGCCTCTCCCTTTCAGATATATCATTTTTCATCGTAGTCCTTTGCCTCCTCTGTGGTAATGCATTTAGCTCTGCATCAGCTTTTCCCAGGGTATCGGTTTTCGTATAGTGTAGTGGAACAAATTGTGTTCTTAGGTTATCAATTTGAATTTGTTTCTTGAGTGTGCATGCAATTAATTTAATCCTAGCTAGGCTTTTATTTAAGAATTATTTAATATAGCTGCATATAATATTCAATATGTAAATAAATAAACAATAAACACTTAGCAACAATAAAAGTTTTACAATTGAACTACTTTTTGACTGACAAACAAGGGATATTATGTTCCAACGGTAACAAATTTCTGACAGACAAGGAATCAATTTTGACAGACGCTTTCTCGAAAATCGGCCGATCAACAGCAGAGGGATTTTCGAACATCTTAATTTATTTTCGAAGTGTCAAATCTAAGTGAAAATTTTCCAAATGGAACACAGTCTGAATGTTTGGCTCTCGTTTGACAGTTCACGTTGACTCCCAGTTGACAATCGCAATGAGTGAGTCCGCAGTACTCACAGTAGGTACACAGAGAACAGACGTTTAAGTTCGATCAGAAACTTGTGTAAAGTTAAGTGGAAACGTTGCCGTTACGTACCGCTAGCATCTCCTAACGCCGCCGGTGGTGTAGTGGTAAGCGTGATTACCTCTCACCCCAGCAGGCCTGGGTTCAATCCCAGTCGGCGCCGCCGGGATGTTCTGAGGCATAACATCTCTGATCACGCCTTCCTTCGGATGGGAAGTAAAGCCGTTGGTCCCCGGTTCATGAGTTGATGGGTCGATAGGTAGGGTCCAGGTGTGCACTGATAAATTGAACTATTCCCATTTTGCTTGAAATTTAATCAATTTGACATTAAACTCAGTTTAATCATATCGAATGATTAAAAATTAATCCTCTCTTTCTAAAAATTAAGCATCTGATATTAATCCCAGTTTAATCATGGATGATTAGATTGTAGATTATCTTTTTTTGAATAAACTTTAATCATTTTTGATTCTATTTTAATAATTTTTGATTGAATTTTAATCTTTTTTGATTATATATCAGTATTGAAAAAGAATAAAATTTAATACTGGAAAGATTATTTCGAATTTAATCATGCATGTTTACTGCCGAAGTAATCATGGCTCGGACTCAATAAGGTGAAGCGGGAATCTGCATACTTTTTAAGCTTTTTTGATTTAATTTATCTTTGAGTGTGGGAGCTGCCTTCCTGGCACGTCGGTAGCATTGGTGCTCAGCACGGAAAACAAGATCGACGGAAAAAAACAAAACAAAGGAAAAAAAAAACGTACTGCTAGCATCTCCTGATTTCCTCTATAAATTTTCCACTTTCGACCAATTGGGCGCTAGTATCGATAAATTATCTGTTGAAAATTGCCACTTGGCGCTACCAGCACTTAGTGTCTAGTGTAAGTTTTGCAACGCCAGCGCCATCATGTTGTCAAAGAGGGTTTTTAAGTGGGGAAGTCGCCGTTAGTGGTGCTTAAGTCAAATAGGAATCGTTACACAAGTTTTTAGAGAAATTTTGTTCGAGCCTCAATGTCTGTTCTCTGTGGAAGGATGTCGACCAGCTTAGGAGTCCAAAGTTAGGACAGTGTTGACAGATCACAACCTACAGCCTTGGTTTAAGCTTTGCAGCGTCGGAACAAAAATATGTGCCCCAGGCTGAAGGAGTACAAGGCTATCGGAAGTTTCCTGAAGGACAACAAGGTGGATTTTTACACGCATGATTTGCCATCGCTGAAGCCACTGAAGGTAGTTTTGCGAGGTTTGCCGTCATTCGAGGCGGTCATTGTGAAGGCTGAGCTGGAGCGGCTTGGTCTACAACCAGAGGCAGTGTATCCGATGAATCGGCGACCCTTGCCGAAGACCTGCTACCGGGACCAGCTATTCCTGGTTCACTTTATCAAGGGCTCCACCACACTTGACGGGCTGAAGGACCACATCCAGGATCTGTTCCAAGTCATCATCTCTTGGCAGTCGTATAGACCTCAACACCGTGATGTAACGCAGTGCATGAACTGCCTCTCTTACGGCCATAGCACGAAAAATTGCCAAATGAAGCCACGCTGTGACAAGTGTGGAGGTACACATGCGACAGCGTCCTGTGGTCAAGCTGATGACAACGAGCCAAAGTGTGCCAACTGCGGTGGAAACCACCGTGCGTCCACTCGCGACAGCCCCAAGCGAGCGGAATTCATTAATATTCGCCAAAAGGCGGCAACAGGCAACCAGACCGGTCGACACCGCAATAATCGTGCGCCCCCGACTATCACTGATGATCAGTACCCTCACAGAGAACAGACATGGAGGCTCGAACAAAATTTCTCTAAAAACTTGTGTAAAGATTCCTATTCGACTTAAGCGCCACTAACAGCGACTTCCCCACTTAAAAACTCTCTTTGACAACATGATGGCGCTGGCTTTGCACAAATTACACTAGACACTAAGTGCTGGTCGAAAGTGATAAATTTATAGAGGAAATCAGGAGATGCTAGCGGTACGTAACGGCGACGTTTCCACTTAACTTTACACAAGTTTCTGATCGAACTTGGACGTCTGTTCTCTGTGATTTTAGCAAACACTGCCCGCAAGATGTTCATCAAATAATAAATGGGATCACGGCACTGTAGTGAAACGATGTTACCAGATCAACTGTATACTGTGACTTTTTTTTAAAATAAATTATTCAATAAAAAATCATGCATTAAATACAGTCACAGAGAACAGACGTTGAGGCTCGAAAATTTTTTTCTAAAAACGAGTGTAAAGATTTGCCGGCGCCGGTGGTGTCGTGGTAAGCGTGACTGCTTTCTAACACCCCGATGGGTCTGGGTTCCATCCCAGCCGAGGTCGGTGGGATTTTTCTGAGGCATAAAAATCTCTGGTCACGTCTTCCTTCGGAAGGGAAGTAAAGGCGTTGGTCCCGGCCCATGTGTGTTGAATGGGTGCGATATCCTACGCAGGTGTGGAAGCTGCCTTCCTGCACATTCGATTGCCGTCAATGGATGGCAATCGATGTCCGTCGGTGATTGGCACTAGATTGCGGAACAGAGACCGACGTTAAATAAAGGAAAGAAGAGTGTAAAGATTCCTATTTGACTTAAGCACCACTAACGGCGACTTCCCCACCTTTACACCCTCTTTGACAAACTGATGGCGCTGGCGTTGCACAACTTACATAGGACACTAAGTGCTGGTAGCGCCAAGTTGCAATTTTCAACATATAATTTAACGATACTAGCGCCAAATTGGCCAAAATTGCAAAATTTATAGAGGAAATCAGGAGATGCTAGCGGTACGTAACGGCGACGTTTCCACTTAACTTTACACAAGTTTCTGACCGAACTTAGATGTCTGTTCTCTGTGGTATCTCTCCCTGAGTGGGATTGAAGGACCGTGCACAAAGTGAGTAAAATTTTCCGAGCTTTTCCAGGAAAAACTTCTTGAATATGCACGGCAGATGAGATCAACTCCAAATTGAGTGGTTTTTCACTCAAACCTGCAAAAACGTACACTCAGAGATAAATTAAATAAAAAAAAAATTAAAAAGTAAGCAGATTTCCGCTTCAACTTACTGAGTCCGAGCAGTAGTCATGCATGATTAAATTTGAATTAATCTTTCCAGTATTAAATGTTATTCTTTTTTAATATTAATATATAATCAAAAGAGATTAAAATGCAATCAAAAGTTATTAAAATGGAATCAAAATTGTTTAAAATTCCTTCAAAAGAAATAATTTTCAAACTAATCAACCATGATTAAACTGGGTTTAATATCGGATGATTATTTTTTAGAAAGAGAGTATTAATTTTTAATCATTCGATATGATTAAACTGAGTTTAATAACAAATTAATTAAATTTCAAGCAAAATGGAAATAGTTTAATATATCAGTGTAGGTCATTCATAAACTGAGTAAAATTGTCTTTGCTTTTCCTCCAAAACCGGCTCGAATATGAGGTAACTTGACGAAAACTTTACCCAGCCTAGGAGCGTGCTAATAGACTCAGTTAAACCTCTCTCGATTTTCCTCATATTAGAAAAGTTTTTCCATGGAAAATAAAAGGAAAATACTGCTTAGTCTATGAGTAACCTACGTTTTTGAAAATTTGAGTGAATGAAACTCAAATTTGGGTTGGTTAATTGGCCGTGTGAGGAAAATCGAGAGAAGTCTCGCTCAGTATATTAGTATACTGCTTGAGTGAGTAAAATTTTCATCGATTTTTCTCATATTCGAGGAGTTTTTCCTGGAAAAGCTCGGAAAATGTTTACTCACTCTGTAAGGAAATCCACTTTTTCACAATTGAATCGAACTCAACTCAATTTTGAGTTGATCTCATCGTCCGTGTAGGTACTGCGGAGAATTTAATGTCGCGCAATTTATCTTACGCCACTCACCGCTAGATGGCAACAACTGTTGCCTATGGAGTTTGTTGCGCGACGTGAATGTGATACATTCTAGTGCCAACGGATGCACGTGTTTCAATAAAAAAAATAAAACGAACAAATCACTCATTTCACCGCTTTATTCTAGAATACTCAACACTCAATCAGTGCAATAATCCTCCCGAAACTCGTTATCGCGATCGGCTTGAACCGGCAGCTGGTTCAGGGGACACAACTTCTGTTTCGACCGGTGCTCCAGCGTTTGGATGATCACGTAAGCCACGTAGACGCGGGGTGCGGCCAGCAGTCGCCAGGTAAGTGGATTCAACGGATTCGTCCGGTACTCCCAGCTGAGGAATGCCTTCTTCGGCATTCCGACATCCTTGCCGGCCATGACGGCGGAATAGTTCTTGCCCGGTTCGAAGTAGATCGGCTCCTTGGAGAATTCCATCTGTCCGGAGCGCTCGCGCAGCTGGCCGAACACTTCCAGGATCATCTTTCCGATTTCACCGCCGTGGACGAGGCTTTCGTCGCTATCCGACAGGGCCAGGCTCACCTTGAAGTGGGTTCCTGTGAAAGAGGAGGGAAATGAGCCATTTGACCGCAGACCAGCAGACGTAACGCTTTGAATAAGTTTTTCTTGAAAACATTGTCCCAAAAAAAATAGGACCTCAGTAACGAAATTTTTGTTGTTGTTGTTGTTGTTGTTGTTGAAAGATGCATTCGTATCACAAGTAACGTGTAACAAGTAACATCTCTCGAGCTTCTCGCGGAAAACAAGCTAGGTCGATAAGTCACTAACAATGTTGCAAACAAGAAAGATTTTTAGGATAATATCTTTTATTTCTGGGCAGTTCCATGAAGAATCAGGGAGGTTCAAAATTGTACAGAACCAAAGAACTGTTAAGTTTGATAGGCAGTTTCTTTTTTTTTTCTGCAGAGTTGTTACTAGTAGTAGATCAGTGAACTTCAAAGCAGTTCGAGATGTTACGAGGGATTACGAAAAATCCAAGAATTTCAGGCATGTTCCAGTCTTCAGGGCATACCATGAATATCAGGAAAATAGATGGAACGATAGAAAAGTACCGAGAACTTTTTGAAAATATAGGGATCTCATGAAGAAACGAAAGCTTCATGCAAGTGAGAGAAATTGAGAGGTGTTAAGGGAAGCTTCGTGAGCTTCAAAGAAGTTTCGAAAACTTAAGGGAAAATAACTTCAAGGCCGAACGGAAAATTGCGGGAACATTTAAAAAGTTCTAAGAAATTCAGAGAAGTTTAGTGAGCTTTATTGAAGTTCAGAGATCTTAAGAGTAGTTCCAATAACTTAAGGGATGCACCGGAAGCTTCAGAAAAGTCTTTCGAGTATCTTTAAATATCTTGAATAATTAGCAATTTATTTCGGATGAAGAAAAACGGAGCGCATGAATTTAAGGTGGGCGGGGTCGCTCATATAAAATCAGTGCTCTAAATCTACCAATACTGTACTGAAATCCATTAGAGTTCTTTGTTCTAAAAATGTCTACAGGAACTGTAAGGAGAACACAAACTAGTAACGAAAGTGTATAAATCTTGGAACGTCCACAGCGCCTTTACAGGGAAGTTTTACGAAATTCTATGAGTCCACAGGATCAATTACCGAAATCAGGGTCAATTTAACACATCTTTGGTCATTCGTGACTTGTTCAGTGATGAGATTTGAGCTCACGACCTGTTTCGTGGTCATGGATGGTGTGGATTCTAACCACTACATCAGGTCCGTCCACATAATTTGAAATCTTCAACATTTTAACCAAAACAATGCATCGTTAAAAGAAGATATTCAAGTCCAGAGTCTTCACTGACCAAGTCCAACTACATTTTGGCTATTTTTCACCTAGTTAGTTCACAGAAGTGTCTAGCATGAACCTAAGATCGGCGATCAATCTAATTTGAACATCTCCTGCAAAAACAAAAAATACTCACGACAATACGGTGAATCATCCCCGGTGATCATGTACGCCCGAATCGGCCTCGGTTCGATCATGATCCCATTCTCGATCAGCCTCCGGTAGCTGTTATATGCATTCGGTCCAAAGTCGATACAGTAATGGCCATCCACGTCACACTCGAAGCAATCGCCGGCCAGGAATTTCTCGTACGACTCACACCCTATGGCCACAAACGGACACTTCTGCGGAATGGCATCCGTGAACAGCTGGTGACACCGCAGGTGATTGCACCCGAAGAACTCCTGGAAACCCCAGAAGAACGAATCCTCATGTTTGGTGATGAACTTCTCGATCGGATCGTTGCACCCGGCCTGGTTGCTGCCTCCGTTCGGGTAAAAATCGACGTGCCCTATGGCCTGGTACATGCCGAGCCCACCAGGGCGAGGCCACCGCTCCACCCATGGTGTGGCATCCGTGTGAATTATGTCCACAAACTTGGCATCCGAAGAATCCAACCGTACGATCGGATCCGTATCGGAAAACATCGGTTCGGCCGGGTCCATACCGGTAATGCGTCCCAACTTCAGGCCAAAGTCCCTCTGAAGATAGTACCCGACGTATCCGCAGACGTGTGCCCCTAGTGAATGACCCATAACGTGCACCTTGTCCAAATTTCGCATTCCCAGTTCCTGGTAGAGCATATGGACCACGTGGGCGGTGATCGCGCCAACCAGCCGTATATCTGCCACGCACTGCGTGTACGGAGGGACGGAAGCCTTACGCCAGTCGATGATCATTACGGTAGCCTCGGGATCGTTCTCCAAGAAAGTGTTAACGAAACCCTGAACCTGAATGTTGAGAATCGATTAGTCATTTGGCATTCAGTCAGGGCCGTAAATACCGTGAACTTACCCAAGGTCGATCGCCAGACTCGATGTACCCATGGGTAACGATGAACAGCCTTCCCTTGGGATTGATTCCAAGACGTTGGACTTCGTCCGGATCGTTGATGTCTACGAACCGGGGATGCTCCCGCACCGGTATGTTGAAAATCGGAAACCGGACGTCCACCTGCGCCGGTGACCGTGGAGCCCAGGCCAGTGGGCGCTTTTCGTCGACCCATGGGTATCCGAGAGGGAAGCAACCGTAAACACCGTAGCATACGGTTTCCTCTGAAGCTGAAAAGGAAAGCATTAGTAATAGTAGTAATAGCATAGAGGTAACTCTAAGACCAGAAGGTCCCGAAGAAACGAGCTCAACTTTTTGGCTCAGCTCTGGTACTATCTTCGGTCCCAAGCTCATCGATTCACCCCTCGAAACATAGGAAAATCCACTAACCCCTCATTTTATCTGTCAAACGAACATTGTGTAGTACTAGAATTTATACTAGAATGGGATACGTTAATCGATTTGCTTGAGACCAATAGGCTAGTCAAGTAGTGAGCCAATTTAAAATCGTTAGTTTCGAATTGATTGTTGGTAATAGTGTTCGTTAAAATAATTTGACAAAATCACCGATATAATGATTTACTACAGTCACTAATTTGCTTTCTCGCTAGAAGTCATCTGAAGTTGATGCTAAATTCCTCTGTTGCCAAGTGAAAGGGAAGGGAACCTTTCGAAAACCGTGATGCGAGTTCCACTGTTTTTCTCTTGACGTGACTCTCATACAGAGACTCTAATTCCGCCACTGTGCACTGCACCAAAAGTTCACCATGAATTCTCGTCACAATCATTGGAAATTTGTTTTCCATCACCCTTTCTCACTATTTTTAGCGCAATCTAGTCCTTTATTCTAGCGATAAGAAGGCAAAAATAAACTAACCATAGGTCATGGCCACCATACAAACTCATATTACTCACGCTCTGTTGCGTTGCTCGTACTGGACACATTGTGGATCGTATTATACAGGCTATTATTCCACTGATGATTCGACATAAACAGCATAGTTTGCAACAGGAATCCTGTCGTGTTGGTAACTTCCATGACGCTGATACTTCTTATCAGTTTGGCACTTCACCGATCGATGGCTACCACGTCCACAGGCAACTCGCTAATTTCGGGATCACGCACTTGTTGACTAGCTGACGATTTTAATCACTTTCGCACCCAAATTAACCAATTGACGAACCTTAAATTGAGCGCACTCTCTTTCCGCTTTGGTGCCTTTCTTCCAATTAATCCACATCCGCGACTACAACGCTTCTCTCCGCACTCGATGGCTTTCATCCGAAGACTGTCGGCCGATCGGTCCGCTACTCTTCATTATCAATTAAAAGTGATGTGTAGCGAAAAAATCATAATTGTTATGATTTGCGCCAACCGAATCACCGTTGTGATCGTCGACTAGTCCCTATATTTATAGCTGTCGAAGCGAGAGAATTCACTCGATTCTACGAAATTGAATTTCGTTAACAACAAAGCCGACAAGGGATGAGTAATAAACGGATCTTCGGTCGGCGAAAAGCCAAATTTCACGAACTGATTTCAGTTAACCATTTCAAACATTTTTTGATAAGGTGGAGGTCAGCAGCGTGACAGACATGTGCGCACTCCTGTTCTGTGCTGTGCTGATGTGTTGCAAACAATCTTTTGCAGTAGGCCATGTGCTCCCGCTTTTGCACATGTGTGAGTGCAATGTGGGGAGAATATTGTCAGTGTAGAGCAAACTTGACAAACGCGTCGAATTTGTAACATTCCATTTTCCCTCAAAAGAGTCTTTGTACAAAGTTTCACGTGGCCTTTGCTCTTAGAAATGAACAACCGCGCCTAATAGTAGGCCACAATGTTATTACCCTTCTACCATAGAGGTAACTCTAAGACCAGAACGTGCTCAACTTTTTGGTACTCTCTTCGGTCCGAAGCTCCCTCGAAACATAGGAAAATCCACGAACCCCTAATTTTATCTGTCAAACTTTCATAGCGAATCAAATCAAACATAGTGTAGTACTAGACTTTCAACTACAATGGGGTGCGTTAATCGATTTGCTTGGGACCAATAGGTTAGTCAAGTAGTGAGCCAATTTAAAATCGCTAGTTTCTACCAGTTTGTCATGGCAGCCGTAGCAACCGTTTTGTCTGTATCGTTGGTTGCTTTATGTGTTTGGATTCGCTGCTTGGGACCGAAGATAGTACCATAGAGGTAACTCTAAGACCACTGGGTCCCGAAGAAAATCATTATTATTTTTGGCTCACTCAGTACCAGAACAACGGTCCCAAGCAGTCCCAAGCTATTTCACTCACCCCTGCATGTTCTGCATGAATCCACACACCCCTGATGTTATCTGTCTAACTTTCATAGCGAATCAAAACAAACATAGTGTAGTAATAGAATTTCAACTAGAATAGGGTACGTTAATCGTTTGCTTGGGACCAATAGGCTACTAAAATGGTGAGCCAATTTAAAATCGTTAGTTTCGTATTGATTGTTGATAGTACCAGCATAGAGGTAATTCTAAGACCAGAAGGTCCCGATGAAACGAGCTCAACTTCTTGGCTCAGCTCTGGTACTATCTTCGGTCCCAAGCTAATCGATTCACCCCTCGAAACATAGGAAAATCAACTAACCCCTCATTTTATCTGTCAAACTTTCATAGCAAATAAAAACAAACATTGTGTAGTACTAGAATTTCGACTAGAATGGGGTACGTTAATCGTTTTCTTGGGACCAATAGGCTAGTCAAGTAGTGAGCCAAATTAAAATCGTTAGTTGTGTATTGATTGTTGGTTATATCGTCTTTTTTAGATCGAATTTACCATGAGGTAGCCACCCGAGCACAGTAAAATAACAACCTGATATAAGAGACAAACCAGCTAAAGACTAAAAGTCTCTAGAAAAAAAACAGCATGATCTTATCTTGAAAACGAGGCTTGTTATTCCAGATATCACACAAAACAGGGATGCCATTTTATATTATATTGTGTGTCATACTAGTCATCGTGTGCCATAACCCACCTATCAGTGTGCCACGATGTGTTTCCACACAATGTGCAGAGTTGATTACCCTTTGCACCGTTCGAAAAATTCATGTAAATTTCTGCGATATATAGCGCACATAAAATTAACGCTAGATTTGGCATAAATTAACGCGATATTTTGTGTAAATTTAAGGGCAATATCGCATAAATTAGCAATATTGTATGCAAGCTTGGAAACGGTTTCGCTGTTTATGCCAAGTATAGCTCAAAATTAAACGAAGGGAGATTTCACGCGTTAGTTAAAATTCAGATTTTTTTTCAGCAATCGATGTTCTATGCTCTTTTGAAAATGTTTGTATACTGAGCTAATTTGTAACCAGTTGGTTACAATCCGTGGATTTTCGTTTGTATGAGTTGTTGTTGTTTGGAAAATTCACGTATTTTAATTTAAAAGACAGAAGGCAACACACAGCAGCGAGAGGGTTAGTACCGCTGCAAAAACACTCGAACGATACTAAAGGGAGGACAATTAAGCTAAAAATGGAGAATGATCGGCAAAAGGCATGCGAGTGGCCATGTTGTAAAAGGAAAAAACCTTCTAATTGGCAGAAGTAATCAGGCGTCCGTGTAGACCGGTATCGTGAAGTGTAGTGCATATACAATAACTCCCCCCCCCCCCCTTGTGGGGGTTTGGGCTGGAAAGCCTACCTCCGTTCAGGACCTCTTGTGCTCTTGTGCTCTTGTGCTCTTGTGTTCTTGTGCTTTGGTACAACATGTACACTTCGTACCGTAAATAAAACGGTCTTACACGGCTCGGCTCGGAAGTCAAGATGGCTTCCGGGCCTAATAGTAAATGATACTCGATCGACCGTCAGGGACGATTCCCTCAGGCCGGCGGCCTTAATTGCCAAGGAGGGTCCCGTCTCGGCTCGACCAAGGTGGCCATGCCACGGTCAGCCGATGCCGTCAACGACGGAAGACGCCTGCCAGCCAAACGAGCCAGCAACGCCTGCTGAGCCGTATGTGGCTGATGAACGCCCCCAGATCCGCCATTCTCCCAACACTGCAACAACACTGTCTGCAGCCCGCGCCGCAAGTTTCCGGCCACACGGTAGTGCAGGAGCAGCCGTGTGGGCCAACGCCAGCGTCGCGACGCCGTAGGAGATCCCGCTGCAGCAGTGAGTACTACATTTTAAACCCTCGCATACACGCCACATATATGTGAAAACCCACACCCACACGCCACAGAAAAGGGCAAATAAAAGTGTTAGAAAATGTGAATATTCCTGTGTGTTTCATACTTTGTTCGCGTAGCCCCTCCGAATACCCAGTAACATGCCGGCCCTGCGACACAGTTCAGGGGTCTCATGCTACTGAGCTAGTTACCCGGGAGTGTCTGGTCATGCCATAGTCACAAATTCACATGCGGTTATTAAAGTACAAATACCAAAAAATAATCTAAAGGTATTTTTTATGGATGTTCTACGACGTCCACATTATTCTGGAGTTCAGAACAAATGATCTACCAGATCAATCATATAACAAGGCCCTTAGTAACGAAACAATTGCAAACAGATGCATAGAGATTGTGCATATCATTTCCGTTTCAATTCCATGTGTGTAAGATGTTCTAGATTATCCAAATTGTCCAGGAGTTAAGGCGTCTTCAGTTACGACACCTGTCCAAACATGTTCAAAGAGTTTTTGGGCATCACTTATAATCTATTTTGATCATTTGTGAGTGGCTACCGACCGAGTCGGACGTGTGTGCTGTTGCTGAGGCGTACAGTTTTTTGTGCTGGTTGGAGGAAAATGTTCTGCGGAAGCCGGTCTGGTGATACGGATTAGGAAGCGGTTGGATAGAGTGGCGATCCGGTGAAGACCGGAGTATTAAATGCGAGGAGTAGTCCATTGTCCATGAAAGAGCCAACAAAAACATTGGGGGTTATTCCGAGAGTCGAAGTGACTTTTGTCTCTAGTGAAGTGAGAAAAGTCACGGGGGGAGAGGTAGCTCATCGATTCTTCCGGTTCGCCTCCTAGTATCGTGCTATAAGGTACCAGGCGATAACCAGGGTAGTTGATCGATAGCTCGATGACGTCAATTCGTTGGCGTCTGCAATGGGAAATTCTCATAGAATAGCAACTATCGTGGTAACTCACCGATTACCTGTCGATCTGCCAAATTTGGAAAGACGTCTGCATTGAATTGTCTCATATAATAATATTCTGCCCACTATATCACAAGAAATTGCGAGTAGCTGAGAAAGAAGATAAGTTAAGCATTGGGTACAGGACCAAGTCTCCCCTGGGTGGTGCAAGAAGATGAGCGCAATAGAATCATCAAGTTGCCATAAGGCACGGAATGAGACTATTGCATGATTGGGTAGTCGAAGTCTTCCATTCGTTAGTCATTTCAGGTGGATTAGAACAGGTTTAGGTTTAGGGTGGGCGTTGGCCAGATTTGGATTTTTCAGATATAATCCTAAATAGGACCTAGATTATTTAATACACTAGTAACCTCAACTTCTGTCACAATGTTTCATTGTGACTAATCAACACTCAATGGGTAAAATACGACGATTCTGAAGCATGACTAATATATATAGATACATTCATACCATTGGCATTTTGTATTTGAGATAAGACAGAGACAGGATGCGGAGGGCCTGCTTAGGGGGAGCGTAACCCATGTTATGGCTTCCATTTACTAAATAGTTCAGATAGGCTGGAAATGATAGGTTCATGGTGAGAAAATGTACCATAGGGTGCCCGTTCACTGATCAAAATTAAATTAGATTCAAATCGTCAGGCCCTGCCCTGTAATAAGGGGATTGACGATGATTTGTCAAGTTTCATTTTACATTTGCATATATTGCATAATTGTAAGTTTAGGTTTGCTTTTGTAATTGTAAGATAGATAGTTTGGCTCAATTGAAACATTGAGTTGTATAAACTTGACGAATCATACCTCTAAAATAGTAGTAGTTACAGTGCCGCATTATCTAACAACCACTGCCTGCAACTAATGTTGGAGGGGTCAGCAGGGTTGATTACGGATCAAAACTAACATAACTCTAACACTGAAATGATCCCGAAACTAACGCTCATCCATTGCACTTTGAGTCATAAAATAGTTTTATTTATTTTCCTACTAATCTATCTACACACTTAGTTTTTTCTACCTAGCTCGGCTGTGCGGGTCTCGGCGGAGTGGTGGTTTCGCTGAGATCTCGGCGGGAGTGACATTTGATTGCCGAGTCTCGGATAATGCCTTTTCTAATAATCTGCCTACGTTTCTTTTATTTGTTATCTACTTCATCCCTTTTTTATTTGTCTGCTCTTCTTTCCTCTTCTCTTCTTTTGTTTTGTTTGTTTACATATAACTAATACTAATACCTCCTTGTTTTCTCTCTAATTTGTCTACTATGTCCCACCATCACGATGAGAGATGAGCTACCGTACATGGTACACGCTCATATACACTCCCAAAATAGTATGCCGCAAGTAAGTATATCACAGAGGCAACTAAAGATCCAGAAACGTAAACCGATAACGCTGAAGATAATGAGCTGTGGTGATTTATATGACTAAAAAGTATTATTTATTTATACTAACCTAAACACAACGTGGGGTGACCCAAATCCAAACGATCACTAACCAAAATAATAGACTTATCTTTTTTCAGCAGCACTACACGAGCCAGCAAAGTTCAACAATCCATCGTTGCTTATGCCTTTGTTGTCGTTTGGAACCAGTTTTGCGAGGTAGGCGACGATTGTGCGTATTTCTCGCGTAACTTTTGAAAAGAGCCTATTTATAGCCTGAACAATACGTAAAGAGCAAATTGAAACATTGAACGTCGCGTGAAAGTGGAACTTAATGAAGGCCTAAGTACTTTTTCGTAGTTTTTAGTTTTCGGATTTGAAAGATCGTCGGTTACAGTGGCCTGCTTACTGAGCAGAAAAACGCGGTCCCAGGTTCTTACATATCAAAGAGATTTATGGTAAAATCGCTTGTGTATCGTGTATTTTGCGAAACTCGTTGTTGTCGTTGGTTCCGGGTTTGAATCGATACAAAAATTTGAGCAACGGTATTATGTGATATGAGGGGCTCGGTGGCCTTAGAGCAACCGTTTTTGCTTACTGAGCAGAACATCATGAGTCTAATCTCAGGCCCATCCACATTCAAGATTCGTCAATCGTTTTATTTGTTAATATGACTACATGGTAATAACAGAAACTCGGTGATTAAAAAGGTGCTCGTCTGCCTGATGGCAAACGTTTTTGCTTACTGAGCAGAAGACCGTGGGTTTAGTCCTAAGCTACTTCGCGTTATATGATCGTTAGGACATCAATTCAGCTTATCGTTTACCAAAACGAACCCTGCTGCAAACCCAACCCTCTTATCCAACATCCCAGTGATTCCTCGTGAAAGTGCAGAGGTGTTCTCGGCTTCCATCAAAGCGAGTGTTATGTCAACACAATCCTTCCCATTCCTTTCTTGACCTGTGTTCGGGCGCGGCCGGCGCTGGTATTGCCTAATTTAAGATCACCAGTTTTTACACATTGAGGATGATTGCTAGTCCCAAGCATCGTCTATTGGTTCTCTGTCTAATTAAAGCTGATCTGGCAATAACAGAGTAGCAACCGTGGGCGGTCAATCAAGCTCAAGCTCAAGCTCAAGCTAGTGAAGTGAGAAAAGTCACGTCGTGGTGACGTGACTCTCTGTGCAAATCAAATGGAGAGTCACGTCACCACGACGTGACTTTTCTCACTTCACTAGTGACAAAAGTCACTTCGACTCTTGGAATAAACCCCATTCAGTCACTCACGAGCAGGCGACGCACACCGCTTGCCTTCGCTCACACAGCTTATGTTTATTCCGCTTCTCGTGTGACGCGTACCGAGTCGAGTCGTTTATGTCACCCAATTCCCGTACTCGAATAGAGTGACAATTGTCGATACGAATGAGCTCCGATGAACTTTCGGTGTATTCCCATAGTCGATGTATATCGACAAAACTCGGATCGGAATGACTTTTTCATGCGAGTGTTGTCGATACGTCAGAAGCAATCGAGAGCGTTTGAAAAGCGTGAAAATGGAAATGAAACGGTAAGTTTTTATTTGTTATGCTTTTGAAAATATTTTGGTAATAAAATCATATTGTTGTAGAGTCCGTGTGACACACCATAAGCAGTTTGCTTTCTTGGTTGATCGGATGGAAGCACATCCGTCGGTTGTTAGAGGGCAAAAATTTTGCGAGGTAGCTGCAATGGACCGGCAAACGTACCACGCTCGCTGGACGGAATTTTCAACTAGTTAGGGTGGAGCGCTACTTCGTCGTAATCGCCCATTTCCGTTCTATCGATCAGAAAAGATCAATAATATCAATGATTTCACCGTGCACAAATCAATAATAGGTTTGTTCCGATGCGTTAGTTCATTAGCTACAACATAAATCCTGTTAGAGCGCATTGTATGAATATTTACGCTCATTGTTCTCAAAACAAAAGAAGCGCTCCTAGCGAATCCCCTTTTTCTACGTTTATCCGTAGGACGAAGAAAATCTAATGGCGTTTCAATGCGTTAGGACGGAATTGAAACTCGTAGAACGAATTTAGAATCAAGAAGCAGTGTTAGATTTTAGACAATATCTCAACAATTTGGACTTTATCAAATCCAACGGTACGTATGGAAAGGTGAATAAATTTGCAAGTCATTTTTGATAGAAATATTCCATTTTTTGCTTAAACTCGTTCAGAAAAGAGAGGTAAAACGCGGGTTGTGCTTAGTAGGACGGAAATTAGATCAAAAACCCTATTAAATTTATTTTCATGCCGTTTTCAAAGAAAATATTTTACCGTTATGCGTGCTCTATTTTTCTCAAATGCAAGCTGGTATAATACGTTCAGACTACAGAGTTATAACATGTTATAGCGCTATCTTGATGGTGGTCTCTGTGTTGCAATTATTTGACAACCGTTATAACATGTTATAACTCTCCAGTCTAGACAGCGTTTAAAACGCTGTCCAGACTGAACAGCCTCTTACATTTATACTATTCGACTCGAAACACTCACCAAATGAAAGGTATGACCACGGTCCCATAGAAAGAATAGTTTCGGAATCGGTCAGATTTCGTCGTCAGGGTTTGCGTAGAAATGAGATTGAGAGTTTCGTGTCCTTCGGCCTCGCAAAACCTGCTTTTAATCTTTCTGTATTATTCATTTTTTAGTATTTTTTTCTGTCTTTGCAGGTTTGGATAGATCATAAAAACACAATTAAACAAAAGTTATCCTACAACAATCGCGAGGCTATAGCTACCGGTGGTGGGCCGAATACAACGATATTATTATCACCAAATGAAGATGCAGTTGTTAAACTGCTGTTCCTGGACAAGACGGGTAATATTTCCAGTATGTATATGCAATCTAAATCAGTTTGGATATGTACAATACATTCATTTCAAGGTTCTAGATTTGGTCTGCCTGTAACTGTAACTTCACCACCATGTCCTGAACCAGGTCCCAGTCAGCCTCGTAATATGCCGTCGTCACCGGGACTGCCAGTTCTCTCCAGTACAATGGAAGCTCACGTCAACCCATCTGAAGGAGAGGACCAAGTTGACGAGATGGTAGAAGAAATTGAGAACGACAATCATAACAGCAGCTCTCGTACCGCGCAACGCAAACTTTCTCCAGGTCAAGAAAACCAAAAAAAGCAGAAAACTCACAACTATTCGGAAAAACTTTCCACTAAACACCGGGTTTGACCACGATTGATTGATTCACACAAAAAACAGATCTTCGAATTAACAACATAAAGCCTCCACCCCTCTCAAAAAAGGACCAAATTACATAACCGGTGGTGCTATCGAAATGGCACAGAAAGTTACTTGGAACCTTAAGTTATAATTCTCAAATGACAGAAAAACGTGTGCTCTATTGTTTTTATCCGTATCTATGATTTTATTTATTGAAAAAAACTGATATTTATACCAAAATGAAATTACTGATTTATCATAGCTTCCGCGATGAACTCTTTCAGTTTAACGTTTCTTGAAATGAACAGCACTTCGCTGTCGATTCATCCTTCCTCTCGATGCAAAATGAACATCTCGCGTCGTGCGAGTCGACATTCGGAATAGAGTGAGAATTGTCACGCGAGAAGGAAACGAGAATGGTCATCTCGATTCGCGCGAGAAGTGGAATAAACACAAATGAACCTGACTGATCGGTGCACTCGTCCATGGGAGCTCTTCGAAATCGCCGTGAAGTCATGGATTGCTTTGCAACACATCGGGTGAGATCTTTCCTTCATTGTTCTCTTAACATTCATTCCATTATTATATGACACATTCACCCCTATTCTGTATTTCGTTTCGAACGAAATTCTCATACAAAAAAATATTTTTTTGTATGAGAATTTCGTTCGAAACGAAATACAGAATAGGGGTGATTATATGCTGGGTATGGGTCCAACCAGGACGACGATCCAACAGTCTCCAATTTCTTGACCGTCCCACATTTCCAAGATCCTGCTCCACATGGTCTAACCACCTTGCTCGCTGTGCTCCTCTTCGTCTTGTACCGGCCGGATTCGAGGCAAACACCATTTTTGCGGGATTGTTGTCCGGCATTCTTAAAACGTAACCCACCCATCGTACCCGTCCAGCTTTCGCAACTTTCTGGATACAAGGTTCGCCATAGAGTTGCGCCAGCTCGTGGTTCATCCTTCGTCTCCATACACCGTTATCACATACCCCGCCAAAGATGGTCCTAAGCACTCGTCGTTCGAAAACACCCAGTGCTTGCAGGTCCTCCTCGAGCATCGTCCACGTCTCGTGCCCGTAGAGAACTACCGGTCTTATCAGCGTCTTGTACATGGTACATTTAGTACGGAGGTGAAGTTTACCCGACCTCAGGGTCTGTGGAATCCGTAGTAAGCACGACTTTCGGCAATAATACGCCGACGAATTTTTCTGCTGTAGTTGTTATTCGATGTCACCAATGATCCGAGGTACACATTCATCCACCACCTCGAACTCATCCCCGTCGATTGTCACGCTTCTGCCTATGCGAGCCCTATCCCGCTCGATTTCTCCAGCTAACAGATACTTTGTCTTCGACGTATTCACCTTTAATCCAAACTTCTCTGCTTCACGTTTCAGCCTGGTGTACTGCTCCGCCACGGCCTAAAACGTTCTTCCGACAATGTCCACTTCGTCAGCATAGCAGATGAACTGCCTGGACTTATTGAAGATAGTGCCCCGCATGTTAAAGCCCACATAACACCTTCTAGCGCAATGTTGAACAGGAGGCAGGAAAGACCATCGTCTTGTCGAAATCCTTTGCAAGTTTCAAACGAGTCCGATAACGCACCCGATATCTTCACGCAGCACTGTACACCGTCACACGTTTCATTTCAAACGTGTCAGCCGGCGCCGGTGGTGTAGTGGTAAGCGTGACTGCTTTCTCACCCCAATGGGTCTGGGTTCAATCCCAGCCGAGGTCGGTGGGATTTTTCTGAGGCATAAAAATCTCTGGTCACGTCGGAAGGGAAGTAAAGCCGTTGGTCCCGGTCCATGTGTGTTTGAATGGGTGCGATATCCTACGCAGGTGTGGAAACCTTCCTGCACATTCGATTGGCGTCAATGGATGGCAATCGATGTCCGTCGGTGATTGGCACTAGATTGCGGAACAGAGATCGACGTTAAATAAAGGAAATAAGATTTCAAACGAGTCCGTTAACGCACCCGATATCTTCACGCAGCACTGTACACCATCCATCGTAGCCCTGATCAGTCTGATCAGCTTCCCGGGAAAACCGTTCTCGTCCATAATCTTCCATAGCTCTTCACGGTCAATAAGTATCATAAGCTGCCTTGAAATCGATGAATAGTAGGTGGTGCGTAGGGACTTGATATTCACGACACTTTTGGAGGATCTGCCGCAACGTAAAGATTTGGTCCGTTGTCGATCGCCCGTCCACAAAACCGGCTTGATAACTTCCCACAAATCTGCTTGCTAGCGGCGATAAACGGCGAAAGATGATCTGGGAAAGCACTTTGTAAGCCGCGTTAAGAATAGTGATCGCTTGATAGTTCTCACATTTTAGTTTGTCACTGGGCATATTACTCCCTCTTTCCACTCCTCCGATAGCTGTTCTGTATCCCAGATCCTGACTATCAGTCGGTGCAGACAAGTGGCCAACTTATCCGGGCCCATTTTGATAAGTTCCGCTCCGATACCATCTTTCCCAGCTGCTTTGTTGTTCTTAAACTGTCGGATAGCATTCTTAACTTCACCTATCGTGGGAGCTGGCATGTCCCACTCATCCGCTGTACCGACGAAGCCATCCTGCCGCCTTGGTCCTCCGCCTCTGCGCCGTTCAGATGTTCATCGTAGTGCTGCTTCCACCTTTCAATCACCTCACGTTCGTCCGTTGTGATACCCCTTCCTTATCCCGACACATTTCGGCTCGCGGCACAAAGCCTTGGTGGGATGCGTTGAGTTTCTGTAGAACTTGCGTGTTTCTTGAGAACGATACAGCTGCTGCATTTCATCGCACTCCAGCTCGTTAACTGATCGTGAATTGAAGGCGGGCTCTTCTTCCCCACTCATTGGGACATCCTCTCGTGCGATGGCTTGTACATTACCGGGTTGTAGGATTTTAATGTTGGAAGGAGATTCTCTTTGATCCCGCGGACTAAGCGTAAGTGTCTCTGCTTACAGGTTCGCCCTCCGTTTTTGGCCCTTCATACAATGGTAAATTGAATACAATCAGGTGTTGTACTTGATCAAGTCGTACGAGGTGGACAGTCCACTGTCTAATGGTTGTGCCTGCAACAATGAGTGGTTTCCTTTACATACATACATCACTTATAATCTATTTTGATGTTCTGGCAAACTGATCTGGCATTCGGTATTTGTTTTTTTTTTTTTTTTTTTTTTTTGTTAATAACTTTATTTGTACAGGCTCAATCGAATAAACTTTACAGAGCCAAGTTATCATTTTCTTTATACATTATAAATGTCTTAAATCTAAAATTAAAGGATTGGAACTGATTACTCGCGGTCTTCTCGAGGTTATTGGATGACAATTATTTGGATCGGGAGAGGGAAAAGGAGATTTGGAATATGATTTATGATTCAAAAATTTCACTATTTCTAAAACATATACTTAATCCTTTCGACGTTATATCAACTCTGTAATTATACAATTATTACAGAAACAAATCTACAAAAAAAAAATACACACACACATACAAAACACAAACTAAACACAAAGTTAATCAAACTTACAATCTATGGTTAATATTCTTCAAGAAAACATATATGAGTTGCATAAACTCCAGATCGCGTCTAGCCAAAATATCCCGAACTGGAACATTAGGTTGTCTACCTCGAGCCCGAAGGGAATCGTACAACTCGGATCTGACTCCACGGTGCTCAGCACATGACCAAATAATGTGATCTGCGTCCTGGTAACCTTGTCCACATTCACAGAGATTACTGTCCCCCAGCTCAACACGGAACAAGTGAGCGTTTAACGAGTAGTGATTGGACATGAGGCGAGACATCATACGAATGAAGTCTCGACCCACATCCAACCCCTTGAACCAAGGACACTTCGACACCTTGGGGATGATTGAATATAACCATCGTCCCAAACTCCCTTCACTCCATTTATTTTGCCAGCTGGCGAGTGACTGTTGACGATAAATGAAGAAAAATTCGTCGTAGGCGATTTGTCGATCGTAAATATCGCCATCCATAGCGCCCACCTTTGCAAGCGAGTCCGCCTTCTCATTGCCCGGAATCGAGCAATGAGATGGGACCCATGCAAAGGTGATGACAAAAGATCTTAAAGATAAAGCACTTAGAAGCTCTCGTATTTTCATGAGAAAATACGAGGAGTGCTTTACCGGCCTCATGGAGCGAATAGCCTCGACAGAACTGAGACTATCCGTAAAAATAAAATAATGATCTGGTGCAAGTGAGGCGATCGTTTCTAGCGTATAATGTATTGCCGCCAGTTCAGCAACATATACGGAACAAGGAGCATGAAGCATTTGAGAGGCGCAATGAAATTCGTTATAAATACCAAAACCAGCGGACGCCTCTATTAGTGATCCATCTGTGAAGAACGATCTTGCGGAATCTACTTGGCCAAACTTTGCAGCGAAAATTGACGGAGCAATCATGGAACGATGATGCTCTGGGATTCCGCGAATCTCTTGCGTCATGGATAAATCAAAATGAACAGAATTGTCGAAGTCGGAGAAGCAAACACGATAGGGATTATGCTGCGAAGGGCTGACATCCTGTGTTATGTACACGTAGTACAATGACATAAAACGAGTTTGAGGGTTTAGCTCAAGAAGCTTCTCAAAGTTTGCAATCACCAGTGGGTTCATAACTTCACAACGGGTGAGGAGCCTGAGGGATAATTCCGAAAATCGATCCGAGAGTGGCAACATGCCCGCTAACAC